ATTGTCCAAGAGCTTCTGTAACTTCGTCGAACTTGGAACCAATTTTAACCTTTACAGTGACTTTTCTGTCAAGCCAGTCCTATCGGAATTTATTCTTGACATTTGAGTCAATTTCTAGGATTAAAGACTCCTGATCTTTCGTCAAAATTTTCATAATTCCGCTCAAAACGATCCCAGAACAATGAATTTGCGAGACGAACAGGCCGCCATGAATCAGGTAAAACAATATGTTACATGCAATTTGATTGGTCCAATCGCTTGTAGTTAACCAATCGCTGGGCCGTTTATAATCGAGCTAGGACTTCCGCAACAAATAATGCCTTCAGTGATCTGATTAGTTGAAGCGTTCATACACGTCCAATCGCAGGGCTGTTTACAAACGGAAAACAGAGAGACTGTTCGGGAGAGCTCGTGAAAACTCGACGATAAGGTACCTGACCGCCCCTAAAATTTTCTCAACGGATTTAGACGATTCACAAAAATGATCAATTTAAGAAATAAAACGGCGGATTTCCGCGGATCCGCGGAAAATTGCCATGTATGCTATGATCTCTGTAAACTACCACAACAAGAAGTGGCAACAAGGAAGAGAAAGAAAATCTGCCGACGTCATCGGTCACAAAGGCGCCATGCGTTACTGCGACAGAAATAAACTTCTTGGAAAGCGGATAATTCCTTTCAATAGATTATTTCCAATCTTACAATTCATTTCGATACATTACATTTCCCCCCAATATATTTGGCAATACAGTACACAAATAGGAATAGAATGGTGTGCAAAAATATTATATTCAGGTTAGAAAAGTATGGTAGTTGACTTAAAATAAGGAGGGATTGAGATTGTCGTTCTCAATTTTCTTTGTGTAACGTGAAGCAGTAAGAAAATGCAATATAAACCTGTATCGAATGTATAGTCATGTTTTGATTCTTTTTTTTTTTTTAAATTCCAAATCGCGTGGCACGAGTAAATCATCCCCAACGGAGAGGCAAAGCAAATGACTGAAGCTCTTGCAGTGTTGGCTTCGCTCAAGACAGCATTGAGTATCAAACTGGCTCAATTCAGCCATCGTCATCGAATTTTCGTTCCATCTTTCGACATGCCTCGAAAGGACAATCCTTCAACCTACCTTTCTACCGGACATCGACAAGGCAACCTATCTTTCCTCATGTCCAACCGTATTTCGACGCGAGGAGAAGGGCGCTGGAAGGGATGCGATTCGGTACTTATTACAGTAAGAAAAGAAATAACCCCTTCCATCTACCTTACTTCCCCATCATCAACTAGACGACCTACCTACCCTCAGGACATGTCAATTCATGTTTTTTTGGTCTGGAATACCTCCGTCTGCATCAGCGTCCTGAATGACAGCTTTGCCTTTCACAATGGGGGAGGGTTTTGAGAGATCTGATCTTTAGCATTTGCTAGCGTTGATAATCCCCTATATCTACTTACCACCTAACATCTACTAGCTTACCCTTCTATCCCGAAGGTATCGTGTCTGGCAAGTCCTGCGTCTTGTCTGGAATTCATTGACTACAAAGTGTTTGGCCTGCCTGATCGCTTTATCCACCCGAGAGCAAAAACACTTTGAGCGGGATGCGACTGTTGAATGAGACTCTCCTTCGGTTACCAAGCGGAAATACGACCGATCGAGTAGTGGAGTCTTGATCCATTGACCTTATATTTAAAACTGAGGTCCATCGGTTTGGACTCCATGGTCCATCAGTACCTCAAAAAGCTTGGAATTCAGTCTTTCTTCCTCCAGTGCTTGTAGGTGCGCATGGTGGATCCGACTTGAATTTCAGACATGAAAGGAGTCTACACTTGGAGCATGACCAAAGACGTCAGTATCGAGCCATTCCAAAATGCCATCAACAAGAAGGAGGCATCTTCTTAAGAACAACCTCTATCTGTGGGATTCATCCTTGATCGGATCAGACTCGTGTCAAAGCCTTTTCCCGGAAGCTGACGCATGTGGAGGTGCCCTGCCAACTAAATGCTGATCCACCTGAGTTCAGAGAGTTCATGACTACAGTGGGTTTTAATATCATCTACGGTCAACATTCTCAGTGCTCATTGCGGGGGTTTCTAGCTGCCCGGCGAGGGAAATCATCTATTAATAGCTGTACTGATAAATGTACTAGACCAGTGGTACTCAATAGGTGGCTCCGGAGGGGCATCCGGGCCAACAGTGGCTTGTTTGTGGCCCACAAACTGTCGCTTCCCTTTTCAAGATCAGACGGGCTCAGGCGTTGTCTGATCTTGGTTGGGTCAGCACATGTAATACCAGCATTTGTCGCCATGCCAACATTTGGCTTTGGGGAGTAAAAGGAATACATGTAACATAGTTGGTTTAAAAAAAAAAAAAAAAAAAAAAAATTGTCATCAGATTACATATACAAGTAAAAATGTTGATTATTTCCCCGGATTACAATTTCAATGCAGCATTCGACTGCTTTTAAGATCGCGAGTAACACAAATGCATCAATTGTCACAACACAGCTCAGTGGGCTACTGTGTCAACACTTGCAAACCAGATGAGTATTTTTACCGTTCTCCCCCGTGTGTACACGGGCTTAGCGTGAAAACGTAGCAAAAGCATAGAAATGATAAATGACATTCAGCTCATTGTTTCAAATAAGACAATTAAGCGCATATATGGTATTGCATCAACTTTGGACATGTCCTCATGAATGCATCACACCGTCTCATTTCCAATCATTTTTTTGATCATCGTAAAAGGCAACAATAAAATGTATATTAAGAACATGTTTTGGACACCGTTCGTGGGAGCTCCTGCTCCAATAAAGGCCTTCAAGTACATTTTTTCTTACATCAAAAATGATTCCAAAGCTTTAGTTGGTAATTTGAATGAAACCATTTTTTTTTTTGCATCAATGTGATGAACAATGAGTTGATTTGACAACAAATACATTTGCTGCAAGTATCATCTTATTATTTTCCACGGAACAATAAAGATGATAACATCTCTTGGACAATACCAAATTGCATTAAGTGAAACGCGATGGATCTCGATTTACAGTGAGAAATTTGCTCTAGTTGCTGTGCAAATGTTCCCATTGTAAGAGCAGTGGTCTTATTCAAAGTGACCACTCAAAAAATATTGTCACCCTCGTAAAATAATCATCTAAGTCATATTTTGACAAAAAACTGCTGACATTTTGTTGCCTCAAACATCTCAGGATTCTGGTCAGCTCTGCTAAAATTGGCTGCATCCTTAGTTCAACAGATCATTTTATTCAAACCTGAAATTAACTTATGACTAAATATCATAAATATTTTGTTCGCTTTTATATATATTCAGAAAAAAAAATTTAATGACTGAGACCATTATTTTAGGAAGGGGACAATAAGTCATCTCTACATAAATCTTCTTTATTGAACTACAAACAGCAAATAAGAAACAAAAATTAAAAAAAAAACAAAATTCATAAGGACTAAAACCCTGTTTAGCATCACAACCAATCATATCAACTCCTCTTAACCACACAAATATACAGCTGTTGTGATTGGATGCTTCAGTAAATTCTTAAAATTTGTAATCAATTTGTCGTTTTGTCCATGAGTTCGCCTTCCTTCTTTTTGTAGGAAAAGGCCAATCTCTCACAACTAATAAGTAACTGAACTGAATCAATGGCTCCTTTGCTCCTCTGTGGAGAGCAAAGGCATAAATACTTGAATGTTCTCAGCATTAACGCAATAAAATTAACACAAAAACATAAGTTGGTTTGCAGTGATGGAGTAAAGACATCCCATTCCATGTTATCGTGTGTGTGTGTGTGTGTGTGTGTGTGTGTGTGTGTGTGTGTGCGCGCGCGCGCCTGTGCTGGCAATTCTGAATCGGTAACACTTTAATTCTACTACATGAAGAGAGGGAGAGAGAAAAAAAAAATTGCATGCTCTATTTCAGTGGACTAATGACAGATTTGATGTATTTTTCACCGGTTTCCTATGATTACATCACCTGATGTGCCTTAGCAGTTCCAAGATGTTTGCCCTCAGCATTGCCCTAGGTTGCGACGCTTGAAGTCGACTCTGCTACAAGTTACCTTGCGCTCCCCGACGGCACTGACGTATGCGCCGACATCTGATTGACAGGCTTTTCGTCTCATGAGAGGCCGCTGGCATCCACAGCCAGATGATACATCACCCTCTTGGAGATGAACCTGGATGACGGGAGAATGTTACACAGGGCATTGATGCTTTCCGTTATATGCTTCAGAATGAAAAGATGGGGGGCGGAACTGTGTAGATTCCAGGACATGAGGACTCACCTCGAAAAGGAGTTATCAAAGATGAGGATGTACTCTCCTGGTTTTCGTACTTTCATTTCTCCCCTTATTGTCTCCTTATGGGAGTTGCAGCGAGTCAGCGGGATCAAGACCTGCCCAAGGAGAAGACTGGTTTAAACGAGACATATGACACCACTTTTCCACAAATTAAAACAGTTCCCAGGTGTCTTCATAAAATGTCAGTGCAGTGCACTTACTGCCTTCCTAAACAGCCATGTGGAGAGCAGCTGACGTTGCGAATGCTTTCCAATATGCACTTGTCATCCTCACTGCCCACTACCGCAGGGTGTGCCAAGGCAGGGGGTAAGTGAGCGCAACTTTTGCTTCAACTGAAGCCGGAGCCTTTTTGTGTTGGTGCTCAGGCCAAAGCCATGTCTAATATGAAAATGATGCTTGGCGCCATCTTGTTGCCAAGCAATTATGTTGAACTGAGCGGAAGTGTTTCATTTGGGGCGTAACTTTTGTCCAATAGAAGAAAAAATGGTTATGTCGCCATCTTTTGGCATCTATAAACAATTACAAACCCTTATGGGTAGGCATTAACTGCTATCCTCCGCCAAAAGTGGTATGTCCATCGTTTGTGTGGGAGTGTGTTTAAGTGTAGGTGTGCCAGGGCTTCACCTTGGCCTGCTCCAGTGTCGTCTGAGCACTCTCCCGAAAAACAACGCTGAAGGAAATGCCTTTGGGTTCTGAGGTAAACGTCCAGGAGACGGTGGCACCGGGCCAGCCAGCGCTGATGGGCACAGTGCTGTAACAGCTCGACTTGATGAAGAGCTCTCGCGAGATGTCGCCAAAGTTTGAGATGTCATCCACTGCGAAGCCAGATGCCAACCTAAATCAAGAGACCAACAAATGTCACGGTCAAAATGCCGTAATATCACCAAGTGAGCCGTTGATACTGCTCAATTGATCTCGTTTTGGGCAATCATCAAAACTGTGCCAGTAGTCATGTGGATGAGTAAAACGAAAGCCATGTTGCTGATCATTTGTTCTCAATTGGTTCGGGGGTACTCAAGCCCCCCAAAAAGTTGTGAAGCACTGATTTAGAATCATTTCTGAACCTAACAGGCAGGATTTTTGAATAGGGGGTCTGAAGGGGAGCCTGAACCTCAGAACTGTGAGGCAGACATGGTCACCACTGGTACACTGTGCTACCTCATTCCCAATTTTTTATGCTTCCCTCAAAGGATTACTTACATTTACAGTGAAAATACGTTAACTTGACCGGTGCCTGTTTTTTTTCTTTGGTTCCAGCAAAGAAAATTTTATTTTTGTACCGTTTTCTCATGTCAGGAGTTTCACGTGAGTGTTTCACTTCACTTCTCACTTCCCGTTTTGACAGTGAACATGATCCAAAACATAAGAAACCATGTGACAGCATGTAAACAGGACTTGTGGTATAAAAAAAAAAAGGGGGGGGGGGGAATTTACGTCAGTTCTCCCGACTTGAGCAGGCCGATCTCGGCATCCTGCACGGTGCCAAATTGGTCCTCGGGGTCTTCCGATGGGACGTCTCCTGTGCTGGCACTGCTGCTGCTTCTGCACAAGACGAAAAGACACTAGAGCAGGGTACAAACATACTCATAACTGGGGCCTAATTTCAGCCCGTTTCCCCCCTTTTGATCAAAATCAGCAAATGCCAGATTTTCAAATGTCTTTAAAAGATCATCCTGAGAATTATACTTTGATGTGGGGTGTGAAGAGTGAATCGTCAATGAAGATTCAGGTTAAAAAATGTGCAACATCATAACTCACAAGCAACTTCTGGATGAATACTGCAGTATTTTGACAATTTTGTCCATACAAATATATTTCGATAGGAATGCCTTCCAACTGCAACCCAAATGGAATTAACGTTGTTTCAGGAATCCTTATTTGTTATGAAATGAGCTTCTGGGGTTGGTACTCGGCAGCCAAGTGAGATACTGTACGTACAGCTGTGCTGCCTCCTGCTGTCCATGTACAGAAGAGCAGGCGGTGGCAAACGAGTCACTGTCGGAGACACGGCTGACTTCCTCCTCTGTGATGATATCAAACATCCCATCCTCCACCTTGTCGCCTTCATCCGCTCCTGGGGAATAAACCATATTCAGCATTCAACATACTTGAACATTGTGTCACGTAGGACCACAAACAGACTTCTGCTTTACCCAAGACGCTCGTAACAGCTCTCAGAGGCTGCAGCAGACGGCTCAACGCAGAAGCCGGCATGCTGGAGAAGGTGTCCTCCTGCGGGGGTCGCTCTGCCTCGAAACCGCGCTGATTGCAACACTCCCGGCAGCAGCGCTCTCTGATGCCGCCCGGCTGGTGGCTGGCTGCATTGGCCAGGCAATAGTGGCAGAAAGGACGGCCACAAAATCTAGGGGGTAAAAAGTCACCAAAGTTATTCATCCATTATTTGTTTATAATGCATATGAAGTTGAGTGAACAATCGAAATTGTCCCTCGGTGTGAGTGCGTGAGTGTTAGTCTATGTGTGCCTTGGCTGGCAACCAGTTCAGAGTTTACCCCGCCTACTGCCGGAATATGGTTAAGATAGGCTCGAGCATGCCCGTGGCCCTTGTGAGGGTGACAATAAGCGACTCGGATAATGAATAAAAGGATGTTTACAAATACTGCATATCTCACCTAGGTCTCTAACATGAAACATTTTTTAAAAATCTTTCTGTCACTTTTAAAACCTGGAAAATGCGAAATCAAACAACGAACGCACATAGTGCAGTGTCTAAATCTGTTGTTAATGTGGTGTCTGTCAGACCTGCAATTGTGCTTGCGCAACCACCAGCCGAAGGGGGTGTGGCATCCCAGGCAGTAGTTGACGTCACGCTCCGTCTCCTCATCGCGCAGCTTCTGTTCAAACTCCAGCGCATCCGTCTTCTGCCACAGCACGTCTTTGTCCCTGCACAGAAATAACCCATAAATTCATAAATGAGAATTGCGGGAGAAAATACAGTTTGCAGTCAAATAAACTGATTCTGACCACGGCACCAACATAGCGTACGTGTACCTGATGAGCTCCACCAGTCTTTCCTCCAGGTTGACCTTGGTTTGGTAGAGGTCGTCGAGTTCGGCGGCCGTCCTCAAGTCCAAGTTCTGTTTGTCCAGCGTGACGCTCCTCAGAGTGTCCCTCAGCTCCTGGCAGGCCCGTTGAGTCGCATCAAGCTCCTCCTGGCATCTTTGCGCAAAATACCAAACAAGGGAGAAATATCTATTAGGAGTAATTCCCAAATGGCCTCTGGGCAGTTATTTGTATTTTTGAAGTTTAAAAAGAAGAAAATCCTTGAGCAATAACACAACCTCAAGGATGAATGGAAACAAATATTACCGTGCAATTAGAAAAAAGAAAAAAAAAACGGGGGTAAGAGCATCAATTGTCTGATTTCTCACCTTGATAAATTCTTTCTCAGATGGATTACCTCGTCGTCTTTCTGCTGAAGGAGATTTTCCGACTGGGCCATCTGAATGGTTCTCTCGGCGAGGTGCTGCCGGTATCTTTGCACCTCAGCCTAGTAACAGTCACAAAAAATGTACATGGGGCTTCTAAGCAAAGATCATTGGAACATCTGCAGAGAGCTGCATCCACAATTCTGTCTGTGTCAGGGCAATAATGCTCCATTTTGATTGACAACAACAGAAAGCAAATTATTTTAAATGTATTTTTTTAATCACAGCTAATATTGTGACAGTCTCACACAGTTAAATATATATATATATTTTTTACTACTTCAGTATTGTTTTAAAACGCAGATTTTTGAGACAAAAAAGGAAGATTTCTTAAAGGTGAAATATTAGGAGAATAAAGGTTACTTTTGTGAAAGAAGGTTTATATTTTGAGGATAAAAAGTCATGTTTTCAAAATAATTCTATGTAGTTCTAGATAAATCGGGTAGTTTCAAGATTAAAATTGTAATCTTACGAAAATAGTTGTGGAGTTGTAAATTGTACTGTTATATGGGAATGTGTAGTAAGCATAGCAGAGGAACAGTTTTTTTGACTGCATGTAAAACAGGCAATGTCGAAGTTCTTATCAAGCTAGTAGTAGGCTTACTGTAGTTACTGTGTAATTGTAGGCCAGGAATCGAGAAAAAGCCACAGGCTGCTTAGCCCAGTTTTACGTGAGTGGTCTGATTTTGAAATGCACTTGTTATATAATGTGAGTGTTTATCAAGAAAAAAAAAATATTACCTTCACTTTGAAAATATCCAATTTATTTCTTGAATATCTATTACTTTAATTTTGTGGTGTACTGTAGGTAGTGTACAGAATAATTGCTATTGTTCAAGAAATCCACACTGAGGTGTGCAATATATTCTCTCACCTCCAAGCGCTTTAGTTTCTTCTCCACCTCAACTGCTTTCTCCTGCTCACTCAACATCTGTAACCTTTCATCCATTAACTCTTCGTTGACACTCTGAAAGTCAACACAAAAGTATGATTACGGTCCTATTTTTATGCTAACAGGGTTGCTAAAAGCCTAGAAGCTCTGATTTGCTTGTCCGACCTGCAGTTGGCTGCTGTGGCTGATAGCCTGGTTGCTGAGCTCCAGGCGGAGAGACTCGATCTCCTGCTGGCTCCTCCTCTGCAGCACCTCCGCCTCCTCCTGGACCTTGGTCAGCTCCTCCTGCAGCTTCTGCGTCATGGCCCAAAGATCATCCTGGTGACGGAGCTTGCTGAGGAGCTGACGATTCTCCCGGCGGAGCTGCTCTGTGCAGGCATCCACCCTGGTGGCCTCCTGTGCGGCCTCCTCCTCCAGTGCTTGCTGCCTCTTGGAGAGGGTCTCCCACCGCAGGCGGGCCTCTTCATTCTCGGCCGTCAGCATGCACACGCGAACTCCGAGCTCGGCGGTTTCCGTGTTAGCTCGGTACAGGGCCTCCCCGGAGTCGCTGTTCTCTAGGCACAAGGCGTCATAGCGTTGCTTGAGAGTGTGTAGCTCCTCCCTGCTGGCCGTCACCTCGGCAGCCAGGCTCGCCCGAGCCAGGGCCTCGCAGTCTCGCTCGCGGATCAATGCCTCCTCGCGCTCACGAGAACGCAGGATCTCGTCGACGTGCCGCCTGTTCAGCTCCTCCACTTGACCCTTGAGCTGTTCCGCCAAGACTCGCAGGTCCTCTCTTGATGCCTCTGTCACCTCCTGAAAGGCCTGAGCTTTCATCCTTTCTTCCGTTCCAGCCAGGAGCTGAGCCCTGAGCTCCACCACCTCTTCCCTGAGGCGGTGCACCTCCCGAAGGTTGAGCTCCAGTTGAGCCTCGGCAATCACTAGCCTGAATGGAGCCTCTTTGGTCTCAGAGGTTACATGTTCCTCATGAAGCTTGGGCATTTTTTCATTGCTCTCCGCCGCTCCTTTCTCATCATGTTGCTCCGAGGTCCTGCTCTCCAGCTCCTCAGCACGAGCCAGCAGAAGCCCACATTTAGCTGTCTGGTCTTTGAGCATGACTTCCGTTTGCTGGAATTTCATCAGCAGCTCCGCGTGGCTTTTTTGGGATACTGTGAGGTTCTCGGCCAGATTTGACACTTTGGCGTTAAGCAAGTCCAGCTCCTCTTGGGCCTCAGAGAGTTGTTTTTTCAGGGAGGACTGGACCTCAAGTAGTTCCCGATTTTCCTGCTGCACACTTTTCTGCTGGGCTTCCAATCGCTCTTTCTCAAGAAGAACCTTCTCGACAAGCTCCACAAAATGGTGGTTTTCCTCCAGAAGCTTCTTCTCACGTTCTTCCATGCAAAGATCGGCAGCTTCCACCCTTCCCTTCAGGTGCTTCTCAGAAGCCCTCAGAGAGGCGAGCTGGTCTAGCAAGGCTTCCCTTCCCTGAGTCATCTCTGCAATGGTCTCCTCACTCTTTTTGACCGCTTGCAGTAGCGCAGTGTTTATCCCCTTCAGTTCGCAGCACTGAAATTTGCAGTTATCAAAGTTGCCGGTTTCTTCACAGGCATTCCCATCGTTTTCATTGAGTCTAGAAATCAGACTTTCTTTCTCTACGTTCAACTTCTCCAGATGCTCTTCCAAATGTTTGATTCTCTCGGCGCTGACAGAAAGCTCTTTCTCTCTGCTTTTTAAGGTTTTCCGCAAGTCCAGCAGTTGAACCTCCAGGGTTTCATTCTGGCTGTCTCTGGCAGTACATCTGCGCTCTATCTCGTCCCGTTCCTCCTGCAGCCTGTGTCTCAGTTCCTCTGCCTGGCGCTCTCTAAACTCTAGCGAGGTCTGCAAGCCCTGCAGCTGCGCTCTTAAATTCCCACTCTCCTTCTCTTTCAACGTCAACGCACCCTGAATGCGACCAACCGCACCCTGGAGTTCCTCCAAGCGCTTGAGGGTTTCTGCGCGCTCATCCTGGCCACGGGATTTGAGGTCAGCCAGTTTCTCCGTGCAGGTCCTCAACTCCTCCTCCTTCAGTTTGAGCTCCTGAGACACACGCTCACAATGCCTGGCCCGGTCCTCAGCCTCCTTCTTGGCCTCCAGCCTTTTCTCCTCTGTCGAGTTCAATTTCTCAAGGAGTTCTTGGATCTTCCAGGCTGATTCGCAGAAGCTGGTCGTTTGTTTGCTCTTTTCTTTAATAGTCTTGTCCAGCTTAGAGAGGAGCTCCATATTTTTGTTTTCAGTAGCTGCGAGTCTGTCTTGAAGGTCACAATTGTTTTCTTCCCAACACGTTTGATAGTGGTTGCGGACATCCATAGTAGTGGTGACTTCTGAAGGATCTGGCAAACTGGTCTTCTGAGTTGCTAGCAACTGACCCTGAAGGTTCTTCACGACATCTTTCAGCTGGGCAGCCTCTTTGCCTAAGTCGTCCACCTGTCCAAGAAGCTCTTGCTTCCTGAGCTCAGACTGATCGAGCTCGATGCGGAGATTCTCCGCAACACTGCGAAGGGATGGTTCTGCTGAAGCAAAGTCCCCAGGGAGACTAAAGTCTGGAACTGAGATCTCCTGTGACTGGATGGTTGATGGAAGAAGTCCTTCAAATCGTATTCAAACAAAAAAATAAATACATTTCATATGTAGTGCTTTATACCTGGACCAGACTGTTGACACTGGAGCAACGACTGGGGGGTCTCCACAAGAGTCCTAATGAGCCAGCCCCTAACGTCCGTCTTTTATGAAACCAAAAGGGGGAAAATAACGTTTTTATATGAGTAACGCAGCTGAAAAAACTGTGGAGATATCTTTATCTTTACACCATGTGCTATATCGGCAGTACCAACGTGTCGTTTTTTTTCTTCATACGTGGGGTCTGATTTTGTTAATCAGTTAAAATCCCTATAAGTGAAAATATACGTGATGGATTTATTTATTTAATAGCAGACAAAGGTCCTCATTTCAAATGGTGAAAAACAATTCAGAACTACGCAGTTCTCAGTTTTTGCAGTTTTTCAGCAATTATCATCAAACATGTAGACTGTGTTTTTTAAGATGTTAAATTACTGTGTGTGATCCAGCGATGCCTCTGGAAAAAAAAATATATATCGACAAGTCCGCACCGGTTACCTGGCAAAGGCCGGCCAATCAATGTCAAGATCGTAACCTCGGGCAGCAACATCAAATTGGATCTGGTTAAGATCGTACAGGTGGTTTACGATCTTTGAGGTGAGGCTTGGGTCAAGGAAGGGGCTCCGGGCGTAGTACCAGTCACTAGGGAAGATAAAATTCCGCAAGTAAACAAGGAGGTGGGGGATCGGCATCACATAACTTGACTTGAGTCAGACTCGAGTTGCCACTTTTAGGACATGCGATATGCTTGTCTAAAACTTGTCAAAGACTCGACTTGACTTGGATCACATAACTGGACAAATCATACCGGTTGCATTAGAAAATATGAAAGACCAAATCAGTGTGTTTTTGTTGTTCAAATAAAAGATACAATTTTTTGGATAACATGCAACTTTTGAAACTCATAGATCAATGACACTACATCTACATCAGTGACCTTCATTTGTCAGACGCAGGTTAGATTCACAGTTTAGCGCACCAAGAGCTTCTCAAACATAAAAGTGGCGTTTGCCGTTTTAAAACTGGCTAGCCAGATTTGAATGGCCCCTCCCATCTCTGGCCAAAGCCACGCCCCTCATTAACGTACGTACATAGACAAGCCGATTTTACCCATGAAAATTACATTGCTAGTTACATTGCACGTGCACAACAAATGGGGGACACCTCTTTGGTCATGCCTTCTGCCAGAACAGTCTCTGATTGACTTGTTTTGAGGCGTTAGATATTAAAATAAGAATGAAATAAATTAGAGGCATAAATTATTTTTTTAAATACTCTACTTTCAGGTCACACAGACGGTTTTATTTTTGAAAATAGCATTTTTTTTAAACAGACGTTATTTTAAAGTCATGATTGCAGTAAATAGTTAATTGAAAACGAATGCTACGATACAAACATAAAACAATGAAATGGGAACAAAAAGCATGTATGGCAGAAGCATGCCTTTTTGGTGCCGCCTGACCACATATTATGCCATTGTACAGGCTAGTTTTTAACGTGCAACTCACAATTTCTAACCCATGTATGCCAGCATACTACATTGACGAGTCCTGTACAGATACAAGTAGTTTCCACTGGAATATGGAAGACGATCGTTTGCTTTCATCAGGGTTAACTGAAATGTGGAATTAAACACAGTCATTATAGTGTGGGAAGCAAGTAGCAGCTGTATGGTTCAATGGGAGTGGATGTTCGCTCAGTGAAAAGAGAACCAAGACATAAATTGGGAAGAGGGAGTCGCGCATCCTCAAAAAATAGAAACATGTAAACACGAGCCGTATGAGATGGCTACTCACCTTGTGACTTTCTGATTGATGAGACACTGCTGCAGTGTGTCGGCAAGTCGCTGGTGAACCAGCAAGTAGCGGATGAAGGCCCTTCCTTTGCCCAGTGAGGTTCTTAACTGAGAACGCATGCGCAAATTACAAAAAATAATTTTGACGAGAGATGACAAAACAACGACCTGTGCATCATCCAAATTGACTAATTCAATGAACGGTAATCTGAAATGAACCAGTGTAAATGCTTGGACAAAAGAACTCAAATTCAGGGTGTGAAAAAAAACGCCTTAATACAGTTGTCATCAGCACACTGAGCCGTAATCTGTCGTATTCGTCTACAAGATGATTTCTCCAAGGCCTTAGCGGATGGAGGGATTTACGTAAAATGGACAACTTTCAGGTCTGTTGCGAGGACACCAGCTGGAGACTCACCGATATTTGTGTGCAACAGATCGTAAACAAAGGCCTATGGGAGTTGGGGTTTTATTGACGTATGGCGTACTCTAAAAATGAAAATGAAACACAGGCCACTGAAACACAAAAAGTCTAAACTATTATTTTTATAACTGTTTTGTTTCATGGCTACTTCATAAGAGTATGTTGTTTTTATGTGTTTGATGGCCAACAGTAAAAACATGCACGTTCGAAATGTCTCCACATGGAAATCCCCTTTACAAAATGCTCTTCAGAGACCCCAAAAAAATCTTCAAAATAAATTGCCCATGAACTAGCCAGAAAAACCAATCACTTTTGACGACAGCTATATGATCTACATAAACTGTGACGCTTACCACTGTGAATTCCGAGGAATAAACGGAGGAAGAGTAGTTGTGGTTGAAAGAAGGCGAGTGAATCGGTCCAGAGTGACTGACCGAAGGATTAGTTAGATGATTATGCGCCCTGTGTATTTGTGTCTGTGCTTGTCTCACGCGGCATACCGCATCTCAAGTGTGGTGTGTGTGTGTGTGTGTGTGTGTGTGTGTGTGTGTGTGTGTGTGTGTGTGTGTGTGTGTGTGTGTGTGTGTGTGTGTGTGTGGGAGCGAGGAGATGCAAACCCACTAATTCCTTTCTGTGAGACGTCTCCTCTAGCCTAAAGTGTGTGTGTGTGTGTGTGTGTGTGTGTGTGTGTGTGTGTGTTGCAGAGCAGGATTACCTCAGGGATGGACTTTACAAAACGAATGCCATCATTAGCACCCTTGATCTTAATCAGGCAGTCGCAGAAGTAATCCCAGTAGTCTTTTCTTTGGCCGAGAAAGGTTGTCTTCTCCTTCAGGTCAAACTGTAAAAACACAAAGTGTTGTATTGAACTATTCGATGGCCACTCAACAGTGTCAAGGAGACGTTTGCATTTATTTCCACAAATTAAAAACGTTCGCAATTGTCTTAGGCATGCTTTTGTAAAGAATACCCATAGGAGAGCGAATTACAGCCTCGCTAAAATTAGCCTGTATCGAGGGTGTGGTCCTGTCTCATATAAATGAGTCACTGCTCAACCCACACCCTCAACCGTGGGGCCAACAGCAAGTATGGTTTAATTATCATGACGATATGGAGTGGAGCAAGTCTAAAAAAGGCAGGTGCAGACTGCAAAATGAATCAGGACAGTTAAAGCTTGGATTGCATTTTCATTGGTGGAGGACGCACTTCACCAGAGACTCAACAAATTGCATCAAGCTTATCAGGTATCATACCTGCAGCAAGTACTCCAGTTTGTAGAAAAATTTGCGCAGGTTGGTGCTGTCGTCGGTTACGGGCTCAGTGTACTCTTTATGCTCTTGACTCAGCTGAAACACAGCATCTAACAAAAATAAAAAATAAAAATAAATTAAAAAAAGAAAGAAAAATGGCTCACACATGTCCCTTGCAATATCACCATTCACTTTTTATGACCTCATTGTATCCCAGATGTTTAAATCCTACCTATCTAATTTGTAATTTTCAGAGTTTTTGCTATGTCACTGGATTTTACTGTGATTCATTTTTCTCCACCGGCTAACATTACATCAGACTTCATATGTGCTACAACAGACTTCAGATGTCAAAACATGCATATCTCTCACATGCATGTCTTGTATTGGTATTATACAAAAGCTGTATTTTATATATTATACAAATAAAATCAAGATATGACCAAGATTTCGGGTCCCCAAAAGGACCACCACTCAAAAGCGCTTGATGTGTGATTTAATTTCGGCACTTTTAGTCCTCCATTCAGGGAGGATGGAGCAGAGATTCAAAAACCAAACCTTAGAACTGTAGTGTAGAGTGCTAACCATGCGGGAAGGTATTGCAAACTGCAGACTGTAATTCCAATATTAAATATAGCACGGGTGGTAAAGATGATGCTGTGCTGCTGGTGTGCTCGTATCTTTTATTACCATAGAGATCTCTGATGATCCTTTGCAGCTGATTTTGGCCAACTGAGGAGCATGAGGAGGTCATTATGGAACTAAGAGAAATTTGAAAAACAAACGTTGTTACTTCAAACTACACAAATCAACAACAACATCAAAATAATAATAATGTCTTTTTGTAACCTGAAAGACACTATAATGCCTCGAACTGTGCCGCTTCTGTGGGATAAGTAGTGTTCTTTTCATTTCAACAGTTCCCAAGCTGACACGCAGGGGACCATGCAGGCCACGGAAACGGCTTTTTTTTTTTTACAACACCTAAACTCTTTTTGTCAGTGTTTTTATGTCATTTATGAAACCTCTTTGACATCAACACGTGAGGGGAGACGTCCAAAAGCTATTTATAGCAGAATCACCTGCTATTGCCTCCCCACTTCCGGGTCCGGAAAATGTCCATACAGTCAAACTGGCGTTCATGATGATAGTAAAAAGAGAGAAAAAAATACTCATCTCACAAACGTTGACAAAATCATACTTACTTGACGTGAAATAGTCCAGAATGGCCACTAAACCGTTACCTAACCGAATCTTGGTCTGATCAAGGCGGGTGCCATTGCATGATTGACAGGTAATTCTGACCAAACGGGGTGACCGCGGGTCTCACAACGCTTAAGGTTTGGTTGAGAGACATAAACAAACAACCAAAATGAATGTTGAGAAAATTTAAAAAAGAAAGAAATTAAAAAAAAGAAACGTTGTACGTCATACATAGTTCATACGTTTTTTTCATTTTTCAATCGTATAAATTAGGATTTAAAGTAAATTGGGATCTTAAACTACAGTATTAACGCACACGACAGTATTGTAATACTGTATTTGAATACGCGCATCTCAAGCCCTACTATATTTATCTAGTTACAGTGTATATACTTTTTGAGGATTTCTTGTACAATCTTACTTGGAATTTAAAAAAAAAATCATGAATAATTTTTTTAAGTCTGTTAATATTTTTTTAATAACCGTTTTATTTGTAATTGCCCCCCAAAAAAGACATTTTGTTGGTGCTCTTTATTGAGTCGTCACAAAATTACTTGATGACAAAAGATTGTACAGAATATTTCTTTGAAAAAGCGAGAGGTGAAACTGCTCGGTGGGCGTGCATGATGTGAAATTGATGTTCACAGCATTGTGGGTCATAATTGGGGAAACATAACCGAGATTGCGTTGTGTGCGCAGGAACGTTTGTGCAGGTACAGTATTTTCTACTTTATTTTGTCATTCAATGAGGGATGTTTCATGAAGTTTTGTAAAGGTTTTTACACCCTTTAAATGTGACATCAGTGTCGATAACCAAATGTTCGTGATTTATTTATTTACTTATTTACATATGAAGACTATTTAAATGAGACTTTTGTCTGTATATTGGGTCATTCAGATTGATCCTATTTTTGATTTGCTAACAATTATTTTTTTTGTGAATTAATGTCTTATAATATTTTGACTTTGTTGCCACAGACTCATACAATCGTCACCCCGCTCTACTATAGTTCCTCGCGAATGTTCTCATTTTGTATTTGTGTGTTTTGATGGTTTGTCCCATTTAATTAATATTTGAAAGTGCATCATTGACTGTGGCTTTCCTTGCCAACATGCGATGACATTTCTTAATCACTATGGGATGTAGACACTGTACAAATACTTTTGGTCCTAACTTTATATCATCTCCTCACCATGGTAGAAATGGCTGCAGCTGAAGAAGTCACCATGACAGGCGCACCAATGAAGACAACGAACTGGACATATTATGATGATAATTATAATTATGATATCTATGAGGAAGACTACCAAGATGAAATATGTAATGCAAGCACCCTGTTGCACTTCAGCAAGATCTCCAGTCCTCTCTTTTACTCCGTGGTTGCTGTGCTCAGTCTGCTGGGCAACATCCTGGTCGTGGTAATTGTACTCAAGTATGAGAAAGTCAAAAACCTCACCAATGCCCTCATCCTCAATCTGGCAGTGTCAGACCTCCTATTTGCAACGGCGCTGCCATTCTGGGCCTACTATCATGTTTGGGGCTGGGCTTTTGGGGAGCGTGCGTGCAAGTTGGTGAGCTTCGTATTCAACGTGGGATTCTACAGCAGCGGTCTGCTCCTCATCGCCATGACGGCCCAACGCCACGCCGCTGTGCTCAACCCCTTGTCTGGCCTCGTGTTGGCAGCAGGTGTCTACAGCGTGTTGGCGTCCATCCTCATCTGGACCACAAGCGTCCTGGTGGCCGTCCCGGCCTTAGTCCTCACTGCGGTCGTGGAGCAGAGTGGCAAGAGTCACTGCGAATATGACGATTCCGCCAGCAGCTTGTGGGGAATCTATCAGCAGAATGTCCTTTTTGTCCTCATCTCAGGCGTGTTTCTCTTTTGCTACTCTCAGATCCTATGCAGGCTACTTCGTCCTTCAGCGAGGAGACGCAAGAACAGAACTTTGAAATTAATTTTCACTCTCATGCTGCTCTTTTTCGTGGGCTGGGCTCCGTATAATGTTGCACTCTTTCTTAAATCTTTACGCTTCTGGTCCCAAACGCCCATGCACTCTGTGACCCTGGCCAGGCAGTGTGCCAGCCACAACCTTCTGGACTTTACCTTTCACATCAGCAGGCTTTTGGCCTTCTCGCACTGCTGCCTCAACCCCGTCTTCTATGTCTTAGTGGGCTCCAAATTCAAACGCCACTTGAAGAAGATGATGGGGTGCTGGCGTGACAGCGACGGCCGCGGCGCATACGGGCAACGTGGCCGACTGGTGATCACATCACTGTCTAGCGGGGATGACCTCTGCGTGTAACTCAGCAATCTTTTCTACATGCTGGACTGCTAATAAATATCAGGTTATTGCAAGACCTACAAAAGCAAAGACACAATGACAAAAAAAATATATATTCTTCACAAGTCTAAATGTTGCTTTTTACTTAGATTTGCGCCTGCTTGTTTTATGGATGTGTTGAGCACGGCTGTGGCTATGCATGCATTTTATTTCATGAGCAGTATGATAAGCAATGTCTTCTCAGCCATATTGTTTGCTTGGTATGGTGTGAGAATTATGAAATTCAATGAAATTGGCTGTTAGAATCAGACATTATTTGCTAAAGACAGATTGTTACAAAAAATTGTATGTACAGTGTGTCCCATAAGTCTCCATCCATGGGAGAAATAAAACATTCCATATGGTTCTAACATTTATTTATTTCTATTTCAGATAACCCAGAGAATGTGTTTGAAAAAAGAGCATGGCACTGCCACTGCACTGCACTGATTAAAATGTGATATGTGTATTTTCAGTATTTCAATGCGTATTAGTGCATTTCACCAAACCCTTTATTTTAATCGAGATCCGTGCATACAATACAAATGTGTTTTGTGCAAAAATGTAATAATTTTAAAGTCATCACTAATTTAGACAGTCATTGTCCATAAATTTATTTCGATTCGTGTTCCTCAGTTTTGGGGAGGATTAATTAAGATGGGAAAGGGGCTTGCTCTAACTCCATCATCATAAAATATATTTGAAGCTTCTTTCTCAGCCCTCCATTAGTCAAGCCCTTCTTTAACCCTTGGAGGGAAAAAAAAACCCTGGAGCAATCCCTAGCTGGTGTTACCTGCAACCTTCTTCAGCCATGAAAAATCATGGATTTATGAATTATTAGTCCCTTCCGATATAAGGCATCGTGAAAAATACCAAACCTATAATTGTCCAGCAGAGAACGCTGTTGTATCAATCTTGACTGCGGTCCTGAAACAAGTTTACATGCTATGTTTATTTTAATTATAGAATATTACATTTCTCCTAAACATATAACCAATTAGATACCCCAAAAGGCCGAAAAGTCAGCTGTTACAAATTGTTATCTGTAATGTATTAAACGAATAATAAAATATAATCAAGCTAAATATTTGATTGTTTATCATTTTCGTGTAATTTGGTGGATTACAAGGGTTCCCTGAAATTAAGTAATGTATTAAAAGTCTTATTATATGTATTCTGTTCCAAATATAATATTTAGATTCTGTAAGGCAGCTCTATAATAAGATAAGATAAGAAAACCTTTATTAGTCTCGCAATGGAGAAATTCCCAATTCACAACAGCAAAGTTATGAAAGGAAGACGTAGAACAACAAAATATAGGAGCTGCTGGAAAGGCAGCCACTCTCGCGGCGCCATCCTGAAGTCAAAATAACACAACACATAGGACACAGACAGTTGTGCAATCTTCACCACTTTCCTGCATACAGTTTATTGTCTGAAGCAGTTATAGACGAAAGAGGAGAGGATCAAAGTGAGGTCATGAGTAACGTGTAGTGAGTAATGAGGCTGCTGCTGAGTGCTTCATATGTTTTTTAGTCTTGGGGGACTACTCACCTGCCCTGCTGTGCTCTGAAATCCAATGTGCAAATTTATCTGCTGTAAAATCAGAGCTCTAACTTTAAATTTTTTGAAATGAGTGGTATCACTCTTTTCTACCGGGCGTCATTGCGTCGCATGCACCTGATGCCCATTCCTACGTCATCCTCTTAACCAATGAGCAGCTCGCGCACTGGTCACGTGGCAACAGTTCCTCCAATAATATTAGTTTTTGGCTTGGGGCTATCTGTCTCGAGACTTCAAAAACATTACATGTGTTTGGTTTACTTTTGCTCTGTTCTCCCCGATCACCACCTCGGAGGAACATTATTTGGTTGTCTTTTGACAGTTTAACGAACAAACTTGACTTAGTCCGTTATTTCGTTTCAAATGACTTCGGTTCCTTGTCCCAATTGTTGACCCATTTTACGCCGCCGCAGTGGTAAGTGCGTTTTGTGTGACATTTTGCTGTAGTTTTGCTCAAACTTTATGGATAAAACTGTGATTTTGTTAAATTTGTGTGTACATATTTTTGGGTTACTTTCACAATGACTGGTGTTTTCTCATTATTCTGGAGACAGTCGTTCGCTTTATAACAGGGGTCTTAATCCTGCTCCATGGGGCCGGCTTTCTGTATGTTTTCCGTCTTTCCCTGATGCAACACAACTGATTCAAATGATCAGATAATCAGCAAAGTCTGCCGAAACTGGATAACGATCCTGATCAATGTTGCAGCAGGGAGTAATGGGAACTTGCCCCCGAGGAACACGATTGAAGGGAAGAGCTCTGCCTTATAACCTTGGGCGTGTCAAAGCGTGCACATGATATGAAAATATGTCAGGATTTTAAGTCATTCGTCTTGCGTTGCATAACTCAAATACTTTCGATTATTTGCACTTTTGTGCCATTCAGTGTTTGGTGTCATGTTCCTTTTCCAAATTTACTGTAAATCGAAGCTTGGCCGACGTCAGCGCTTTCGCCAGGTGAGGCTCGTTTACGTTGCGTTTGGGTGTTTCCCGGCTGTCTGTGAGCGATAACTGAGTTGTGTGCGTGTGCGTGCGTGTGCGTGCGTGTGCGTGCGTGTGTGTGTGTGTGTGTGTGTGCGTGTGTGTGCGTGTGTGCGCGTGTGTGCGTGTGTGTGCGTGTGTGTGCGCGTGTGCGCGCGCGCGTGTGTGTATAATTTTTTTTTCTTCGTGTGGACGTGGAATTGAGGTGTGATTTTCAACTTGAATACCATCCAGAGAAGACAACGACAACGCCACCCAGGCAATTTCATTAACTCGGGTTCGTATAACAAAAAACAAAAGATGAGACGTACTTCTATCCATTCAGTCAACCCGAAACCGGTTCTTCCCTTGAATATAGGACACTTGTTTTTTTTTCTAAGCAGGTACACAAATCTATCTGTTAAATAAGCATTAGAAGTGACTGGTGCAGATACACGAGGCTTTGGTTTGCCCATCACTCAGGTGAGAAGATGGGCGGGGCATCAGAAGCAAAGAGCAAGAGAATAATCGGGCAGCCAGCTCTTGCATTTATAGTGTGATCGAGTATGCTGATTGGCTGGGCACATCCTTGTAATTAGCAGAGATGACAGCTCATCCTGCTGCATTCGCACAAACATTTGCCCGTATTTGTATAAAAATGTCAATTCCACAGGAAAACACCACGCGGTATAATGGGTCTGCTTGTCATTGTTTGCTTTTAAAAAGGTGATAAGTATTATTGATCGTCACCCCCCTGATTATTCCTCAGCACGTCGCTCTGGACCGCATGTGAGGACAGGTTTAGCAATATAACAGAGGGAGTAGATAACTGGTATAACGTGTTTTAAGGCCTCCTAATTATACCCTGAAGGGAGGGTATGAAAAAAGTACTTACTGTGTTAGCGTAGTGGGCTAGTGGTGAGCACGTCTGCATCACAGTTTTGATTGTCTTGGTTCAAATCTTGCCTTCCGCCTTTCTGTGTGGCGTATTCATGTTCTCCCTGCTTTTCCCCACTTATGGTGGGCTCCTTCCATATTTGAAAAAAATGCATGTTAGATTCGTAAGTGTGAATCCTCGTTTGTCTATATGTGCCATGTGATTTTGCTGGTGATCAGTCTTGGGTGTATAGGCTTACTACCTCTCACCCAAAGACAACTGGGATAGGCTCCAGTTTCCCAAATGAGGGTAAGCGTTACTGAAAATGGATGGTTTTCCGAAATTAAGGTTTTTCTGTTTATCCGCTCCCTTATGTCTGCAATTTTTTTTTCTGACTTTAAAACTCCATTCACTCCCTGTCTAGTGCACATCTGCCATTTAAGCTGGTGTGGGCAATACTTTCGTCCAGATTATCCGTTGTCTCTCTATCTCACAGCTTAATGCTACATCATCGAGTGTCCGGCGGGATCTTGTGATCCACCAACTGACTGCTAATTCCCTGTGGCCAATAACTTGTGCCCTGGCATCCTTGTACCCTCATGCGTCTGTGATATGGGAGAATGGTGGACAACCATGCCAGGAGACACTTCTATGGGTAATTTTCATCTTCTGAACACGTGTTTTTTTCATTGTTATCTTAACTGGGTAGGTGACCCAGATTTGTACTCTCGATTTAGAACAGCAGCCTACTTCACACTCCAGATTTAATGCCATTTTGGGATTTCTTTCATGATCAGGAGCCGATGAGATCTCCAGCATATCACTTGTGACGATGTCTCCGTCAAGGCAGAACAATCTCGTGTCACTGCAGCCTATGTCCAGGAACTGTCGCAATCCACTCCCTGTCTTTTGCACAGATGACAACATCTCACAGTGCGTCTCCTACATCAATCAGGTACAACGACCAGAGCTGAATGAATTGTTGTGAATATAGTTTGCAGTGGTGTCAAGAGAACGTTTGCCTTGATTTCACCTTCAAGGTTAGGATTAGGCAATAACATTCTGCAAAATTCAGAATGGCTTGCTCAGACGCGTATCAGAAATATGCATGCAATGAAAGATTTACTTACTTTGATGTGTGGCCAGAGACCCAACTATTTGTATGTCTAATGCAAACAATTAAAAGGTAAATTTTCCATGATATGTCACCATTAAGACGAGAATAAATTTTACATCTACCATCATCAGAAAAAAAAGACATTAGTAACCATCTCAGTTGAATATGATGCAGTTCAGTTGTACACCACTGCGAAACAAAGACAATAATACACATTGTCACTATAAAGACCAGCATTGTACTATTGCTTTGATTTGACCACTATCCCTCCCCATGCAGGAGCTTTCCTCTCTGGGTCTCTCCTCATACATGGAGCAAAGCTCAGCAGGGCCCGCCGGCCTGAGTGCGGTGCCCGCTTTGAACGCAGCTTTCGAGCTGCTGCAGGTCCACAGGCACACCATGGCCACTTTAGAGGAGCTCGAGAGAGAGCAGCTCAAGAAGTCCAGCACCTTGGATCACATGCAGATGAGCAATTCACGGCTGAAGGCAAGTGTGTCAGCAGGGGTCCCCCTGGTCCTCTGTGTCTATTTAAAGCATATTACACCTCAATTTTTGGAATTAGTCAAGCCATAATCGTCGTGCTTTTCGCCAGGATCAACTTGAGCTATCCATTCGAGAGAAATCGGGTTTACATGAGACAGAAAGGCAGCTCCAACTCAAAATCAAGACTCTGCAAAGCTGCCTAAAGACGGAGAAAGATGAGGTAGATGACCCGCTAGCCACACTCTTATTTGTCACATTTTCCTAAACTGACGAATGCTGTTAACTGCAGGTTCAGAAGCTCCAGAGTATAGTTGCCAGCCGTGCATCGCAGTACAGCCATGACGGCAAGAGGAAAGAGAGAGAGTTGGCCAAGCTCAAGGAGCGCCTCAGTCAGCTACTTGTGGACAGAAGAGATAAAAAATTGGGTGACTACATTTCTTTGTATGTTGTGTTTTAGTATATCGTAACAGGACACACAAAAAAAAAAAAAAATCTCAAGGACCCATGCTTGAACGTTAACGTGAAGTCAGCCATTTTTGCTACGAGCCAATTCGTCCAAATGAGCCGTGATGCTAAATTGCAGATTGGGTTGAAATCGACATGGGAATTTTCAAACTTCGACGGTAGTATCTGAGGTGCAATATTCCCATTGTATAAGGAGCGTGTGAAATTTAACAGCAGAGACTCGCGACTCACACCGCTTTTGTGTTCTAATCCTGACGTTGCCACTCGTATGGTTATCTTAATGCAGGAAGCCACAACAGCTTTCGAAAGGCACAATGTCCTGATTCAGCTATTTCAGTCTGAATGCTGGCTCTGTTAGGTCTCTGATGCACTAGTTTACCAGGATGGCAGTGTGAAAGGGGCTAATGTTAGCCGATAACTCTCTTGATTTACTAAGATTAATGTCCTTACATACTTCCTGCTCTTAACCGCAAGATGTATGTGTCCCAATAGCTATTGACGTGCTAAACTGCCTCGGACGAGCAGACGGCAAAAGGAGCCACTGGAAAACAACCAAAGTCGCAGCCAGGTATGGGGAGGAACCATCTTGTGACATTTTGACTGGATCAGAGGAATCTGTAATATCTGTCTATGTGTTCACTTTGTGCAGCCACGAAGGGCAGATGTACAAGTCTATGTTGCGTGAGTACGAGGCCAGCCAGCAGTCGCTTATGCTGGAGAATGCAGAGCTGAAGAAGGTCCTTCAGCAGATGAAAAAGGAAATGATACACTTGCTGAGTCCACACAACGCGCCGTGCAGAGGAGCAAGCACTGATGACAGCCAGGAGAGGGTAGATGTGGCACAAAAATTGTAACTGAATCGGCACTGAATTTTATGTTAGAGACCCCACACATGAAGAGGGAGAAAAATCAGCTTGTGTGCTCTTATTGTACAAGTGGTTTTCTCCAGATAGCCAATACCCAGAAGTGACAATCGTGAGTCTCCTCCCCAAATCCAAATGTTTGTTGTAGTACTAAAATTGACCTGTGAGAGGCCCAGAGCCACCGGCCAGCCAGATGGACAAACTACTGTATAAAGAAATGAAAGAAGCTATGCTAATTGTTAGCTTTTTTTTTTTTTGTCCAGTTGGATTCTGATGGGGAGGAGACGACGGGCAACACCAGCAGAGAACTACTCGACCCTTCATGTGACCCAGCGAGGGAGCAGCTCACCAACAGCATTCGCCAGCAGTGGAGGAAAGTGAAGAGCCACATGGAGAAGTTGGACCACCAAGGTATGAGACACATTCGATAACCAAAACACAACAGTCACACACAATGTGTATTGTAAAGATTGTTAACTTACAAGTTGTTCTAAATTTCAAAATATTTTTTTCCCCACTGAAACTAATGTGACGTGAATTCATTTCTTTTAAGCCTCAAACCATCATAAGGTATTTAACTACGCAGGCAAGCTCTTAGTTAACGTTCCTTCCTGTCATAAAAGTATAAAAAGAAGTTCATCAGTCCACAGTGAAATGACTCCCCCTTTGGCAAAGAAAAATGTGCTTGTAGAGCAAAGATGTGTTTTATTGATACTGCTGGACATGCCTATTTGCTATCACTGATACCGTCTGTTTTGCCATCAGAGATTACAAAATAAACCAAAAAATAAAAAATTATAAACTTGTGAAGTGATTTTTGAGGACTAACTTTTCATTTTGTTCCCCCTTGTTGAGTACACTCTAATTTAAATCATCATATTTTTTATTATTATTATTTTTTTTTACCCCCTCCAAGTTCAAAATCACGTGGAGTCGAGTAAGGAGTTGATCCCGAGAGAAACCCACGAGGACGAGATGGAGAGGTTGAGGCGCGAAGTGCAGCAGTGCAAGGAGTTCATTCACACTCAGCAGCAACTCCTCCAGGTCAGTCTTGTTATAAAAGATTGTAAGCAGTGGAAACGCAGATGCTGTAAATTGTGTACGCGTGTGTCTCTGTTTGGCAGCAACAACCGCACGCATCATTCGACGACGAGACAGCCGAGTTCCTCAGTGACTGCTACACCCTGGAAGAGAAGGAGCGGCTCAAGGAAGAGTGGAGGCTCTTTGAGGAGCAGAAAAGGAACTTTGAGAAGGAGAGAAAGTACTTTACCGAGGCCGCCATCCGCCTCTGTCGAGAAGTAAGTCAAATGCTTCACTTTCATTGTTTTTACTGAAGACATATTTCAAATGTACGGTCCAGATTTTAATTGTCGTTGCATCCCTCCTGCAGAAAAAGGCTTTTGAGGAGGATCGTGCATCATGGCTGAAGAGTCAGTTTTTAAACATGACGCCCTTTGCCAACCGTAGTAGATGCTCCTCGGCTGATGGTTATAGTGCCCTATCGATCAGTAAGTGTTTTGTAATCATGCATAATACACCCAAGCAAGTGATTTTTATTTTAGTATGAATCTGGATGACATAATTCAGGCAAATGCAGCTGATGGCTATCAATAGCCTCGTTTGCTAGTTTAAAATGTGATTAATGTTCTGTATTTTATTACATTTTAGGTAGTGAGCCAGAGTCAAGGAAGTCTTCTGCAAAAAGCCTTTCCTCCAAATCTCCAAACTATTCATCGTTCTCTACTCCTAAGCCTGCTCCTTCTCAAAGCACCACGGTACCATCCTCAAACAAACTTGACCGGACATTCCGCCCTAATCCAGACACCAGGTAAACTGTCATTTATCAACAACAGAGCGACACTCTAATTATGCTTCATGCCAAGAGAAATTTACAGAAAATTCCCGCAGGAATTCGAATTAATTTCCATGCACACTAATAATTCTTGACACTGTTTCAGTTCCTCTGGGTGCTCAAATCGAGGACGCTTGCGGGAGACCTGCAGCACCACGGATGACAGAGACTCACGGGTCATGGCCAAAAACGGAGTCTACAGTGAAGACTTAAGTATCTTCTTTCTCAGAGATGATGAGAACAGCCTCAACTAAAAGACCCAATCAGTCCATGTGCCTCCTTTCAATGTGGTTGATGAACTCTTATTTATAAATATATTTTTTGAACAAATATACCGATCAGTCGCCAAATGAATAAGCAAGCACTTTAAAAAAAAAAATGAAGCGCTGAACGGAGAAAGTCAGAGAATTTTACAAAGTACTGCGATGACAATTTTTTTTCACTCATTAAATTGAAGTCCTGTTTCACTTAAATAAATGTCTGTGAGATTTAATTATTTTACTTGTGTAATATCTGCTGTTTACTAATAAATAAATTAAGAGAAATTTTAGTTGATGGGAGACATTGTACTTTTTTTTCCACGCCCTCACCCACCGCCTCCTATGCTGCACCCCTTCATCGACAACTTCCCCAAGCAATCAAGTAATTGAAATGCCTGTCGTGATTCGACTGCCTTTTGACTTGTAGAGAGAGCTCCCATGTTATATTTGGTCAATAATGGGCTATTGCATGTTCTCACAGCACATGTTAACTTGATTCAGGAAAGAAAAGTTGTTAAATCTCGTGGAAATTGAAGAGGAGTTGTCAGTGGAATGGATGAAAAAAAAAAGATTTTTCATCAAAACTACCTATTGTATCATTCTTTTTAACGTTGATGCCAGGAATCCCAAGTGTCACTGATTGGTCTTCGCCACGCCCCAAAATACGGACAACAACTTTCATGGTGAATTATCTCAAGAATTCAGCACTACATTATTCTGTCTTTGCACCTTTTTTCAACAACCATCTTTAAATATATAGAATGTATTTAGAAAGAAATCTTTGAATTCCCTTCACCGTCTTCAACATTCTTTTGTTTCTTGCCCCCCCTGAGCGTCCATAACGCGCACTGCAGCCCCCAACCCAAACGGGAAGTTGTCATCGAATCGTTCCGTTCGTCTCCTCCATCCCAAGCCCAGCCAGAAACGAAGCCTCGCAGCACCGCGCGACGAGCCGAAAAATAACAGCGACAATGTCGAGTTCCAACAACCTTGTAGCCATGAAAAAGGTCGTGCAGCAGTTGCGCTTCGAGGCGAGCATAAACAGAGTGAAGGTAACGAGCAAATTGGACTGTTTTCCCGGCCGATTGACTTGACCGTTACCTACACTGTGCTAGCATTAGCGTTAGCCTCTCAACAGTTAGCCATTACTCAGCCGGCGTTGGGCGTTGTTTGTCAAAGAAGGGGAAGTTTAGGATTTAACTCTTGTCATGTTCTCGTTGAAGTCAAATATACAACCTCTACTCGAGGTTAATATGATTTTTATTCATTATTTTGGTATCTGAATGAAACTTGGGAGAATTTGCTAAAAACGAAGTGACTCCCAAATCAATTCGTTGTAAAAAAAAATAAAATAAATACCATTTGAATTTGTTGAACACAGTTGACACACTGCAGTATTAGATATTATGAGTTCGATTTAATTGCAAACCAATATTTAATTTAAGCTAAAGCCTTCTGGGTGCCATATACTTTGAAATGGGCGAGTGACGCTTCGTGAAGCAATGTGGCTTTCCTTCAAATTTCGTAGAAACTGATTCTGAGCTTTCTGGCTACAGTGACAGCAACATTACCGACATCTAATTGAAGCGTGAAGTCAAAGCTGCCAATGTCACCAAAGAGTGGTGCATTCACTCACTTTATCTTTAGCAATAAACGTAAAGATAAAGATTGACTTGCGAGATAAATTCATCCTATTATCGCGCTTGTAAATAAAACCGCTCAAATCACTCTTTCCTCTTAGGAAAGAAACCCGCAAATACCATTGGGTTCCAGCCTCTCAGAAGATGCAACATATCTTTTAATAAAAAAAAAAAAGTAGCACTTTTGTTTAGTTAATAAAATACACAGTAGTAACATAATTAGACTGTAATGAATTTAAAATGTTGTGCATCATGGTAAAATCACTGTCTGGCTCCTTCTAGTGTGTGTTGCGCAGTGGCCACTTGAGGGCAGGAAAAGTACATACATACCTATTTTCGTGAGGGCGGTCACAACACAGATGCTAATTGTTATCCCCTCTATGGTATTTAACAAAATGCGTTTGCACTAAGTGAGCTGAATTTCCAAAGTTCAAGTGACATGGGTGTTTTAAACGCACAATGTGTGTAACGGAGTGGGAATAAGCAGCTTTAAGCCTTTTTTTTGGAAGAAGTGTTCACCATCTGCCCTGAGTTTTTTTTCCCCCATTGTTTAAAAAGAGCTACTTTTATCTTCCTACAGGACATTATTAAATTTGTCTTTTTGCTCCCGAGGTGTCCCAAGCAGCTGCGGACCTCCAGCAGTTTTGCATGCAGAACGCCTTGCAAGACCCCTTGCTCACTGGCGTATCATCCAGCACCAACCCATTTAGGCCACAGAAGGTCTGCTCTTTCTTGTGAACTCGCCGCGGTCATTTGGTGAGTGTGCACCTTGACCCACATCACTGTCTTCTTTTGGATCCCAGATCTAATCTCTGCTCCGGATTCCCTTACAGGCGTTTATTTTGATGCTACAGGGAAACGTCGACCTCAACACTGCTCCTCATGCCAAGCCATTAAAACTGCCACGAGGGGGGGGGGGTAGTGTGGATTTTTAATTAATTGTGCCTTTTCTATTCTATTTTAGTCATCACTCTTCTGGACTTTTTTGTATTTAACGAATAAAAACATTCTTTGTTACTCCAAACTCATGATTTCTGTTAATGTATTAATCAGGAATATTTTTATAGTTCTATTTGGACCACAAAGTATCAGAAAAGTAGTAACTATCGCTTCATATTCGTCCGTTCCTGTATCAATTTACATAAACGGGTAACATATTTGACAACTAACATTTCTAAAAGCGATTTGATGTGTTTTTAATTTCCTTTTTATTGTGTTTAATGTCTTCGTAAATAAGTTGAACCCCAGATTCACACTCTTGCCAGATGATGGCGCTGACACATCAGCCAACCGCCTTAGGAGAAGAACGAGTATCACTAGTAGAAGAAGAATTAGACGAAGAACACCGATGCCATCCGTTTGGGGGGGAAAAAATCATAAAAAAGAGGAACACGCTAAAACACGCGCACACACTGGAGCGTTTACGCGAGGAACCGAAGTGCGGTCTGTCGACTGTCGTGCGTCTCCAGGCGGCAGCGTGACAACGAGGGTACCGCAAAAGTCTGCTTTTGACCCGGCCACAATGAAACGCTCTCCCCCGACGCCGGTCGAAGAAATGAATCATGGGACCGCGTTGCTGTGGAAACGACGGTAACCGGTTTCGCTTCACCCAGGATGTTCGTTTACCATAACTAAAAGCTGTTAGTGGAGAGAAAAAAAAACAAGTTCACCTTTGCTGCGTGATAGTCATAGTTTGATGTCTGTAAATAGTTTAATGCTAGTAGCGGCCGATGCTACGGCTCATCTGCCAACGAGTAGCGAGCTAGCATGCTTAAGCTACAGGACTGTCATTACGTACAAAGCATGATGGAGGGCCGGGCGATATGGGCTTGAAATAAAATATTATTACTAATCGTACAAATCTGATTTTGCAAGCGATTTATGTTATTTTAATTAAGAAGCCAATGAGACTTTTTTTTTATTTTTCTTTATTGCTGGACATTCGAAGGGCTATAAAAGTCGCAAATAACAAAAGAAACAAATAACAATCACCAAATCGTTAAACTGGCAACACGGACGGTGCTTTTGTAAACTCTGTTTGGAGATATGTTGTCAGTGGAAGTAGAGCTCATCAAATAGCGACAAAGGATAAATATTTTATTTGCTTGAATTCGATGTTTTTTTTTTTTTAATTTAGGTTGAAACGTTAAACACTGGTATGAGCATTAGGAGTATTTCTTCCTTTTCGATTGGAATTTTCCATCACACTGTGGTGTCTGTTTCTTTGTGGCAAAGTTAGATTCCTGCCCTAGCATGATGTTCCAGGAGGGGTCCATACAGCTTGTGTGCCTCACGGCCAGCAGTGGGGTTCCCCTATTCACAAGGGGGGCCTCCAGGCAACTCCCCTTTTCAATCATTGGGTCCCTGAATGGCGTTCACATGTTCGGAAGTGGACAAGGGGTGACGTTGTCCAGCTGCGAGACCGAGGGCGGCGGGAGAGTGGTGTGGCGAGTTTTCCAGGACAGTGTGATGCTCATCGCTGTGAATGCGAGCCAGCAGGCAGGCCAGGGTGTGGAACGCAGCGGCCAGGGTGGGGGAACAAGCAAA